CTATAGTCCTCGCTGCGGCCGATCCAGGTTCGAATCCGACCTGTGGTCCTTTGCCGCATGTCACTTCCCCTCTCATACCTTGTGATTTAGATGTTGAATTTAATTTGTAAGACGTTTTTAATCAGGAAAGGGAAACGTCTGCGTTTCTTCTGTATGCTTCATCCACTGAAACCAAATGTTCTTCACCAGGCTGGACCTCGTTCCCCACCCCCACCACCACCACCTTCCTCAGGTCTGGACCCCCCTCCCCCTCCACCAGCAGAGAAAGAAGCCCCCTCCTCATCATCTTCCTCTAAGAGGAATAAGTTTCGCCCCCCTCCACTCAAAAAGACGCCTGACTCTCATGACAAGTGAGTAACTGAGGTCTTCTTGCATATTTAAACTAATATAAACTCTTAAATCTCACAACAACAGATTTTTCTGTATAAAAAAAGACTTGAGAACGATTTGAAACATAATTTTTCATAATTTTGATTTTGTGGTTGCCCAAAACAAGAAAGAAAAATCTGCCCGGTCCTTTTTTAAATCTGCTCATAAGTAACACATCCTCTTTATCATAACAGTTTACTGAGACCGGACTCCCATCTGTTAACACTCATTTCAAAGCTTTTTCAAGCCAACTTCCATCCTCCTAAGACTGTTGTGGGAGCTCTGTTTACTGAGCGTGTGTGGGCAGAATGCTGTACTCTTGATATTCTTAATTTAGTCCGTTGGGAAGAGGAGTGGACGCCACAAAGAGAGAGAGGCTAACGGAAGTGACCCTGAAGGAATGACAAAGCCTTCAGAGGAGATCCTGTTAAATTTGAACCAGATCAAACCCTTGATGGTGACTGAGGAGGCTGTCGTGTTTCCATCTGCAGGGTTTTGTCGGAGACCTCCTTTGAGGAACGCTTTGCTGAGCTTCCAGAGTTTAACCCAGAGGAGGTCCTTCCCTCTCCCACGCTGCAGAGCCTGGCCACCTCTCCTAGAGCCATCCTGGGAAGCTACCGGAAGAAGAGACGCAACTCTACTGGTGAGTTGGAGGCATGCAAATAAAATTATTTTCATTGAACTATGGAGGTGGGCGTGCTTCAGTGGTGCAGTGGTTAGCGTGCACGACCCAGGCCTTAAAGGCTGGTCATCCTCCTGCAGCAGTGTGTCACAGAGAGCTTTGATTTATGCCCAATATTGAAGCGTGGTCTGCGCTATGTTATTCCACAACACAAGAGGGACAATCAGGAACTAGCTGTGGGTCTATATACGGCCGAGACGGTGAGGAAATGGGGCCAAAGTTGTGCAATAATGGAGGGACATGAGGGCCAAAAAGAGCGGGGATCCAGGTGGAAAAAGGCTCCCAGCGTTCTCTTCTAGCTTCTCCAACTTCACCAATCATTTCCCACAAAGGCGGTCATACAAACAAAACAAGCTGGTAAGGAACCAAACAGGAAATACACATAGAGTAGAGCGGATGTAGATTTGACCAATCAGAGGCTTCCTGTCTGCAGTTATCTACAATTTTGGAGAGGTGCACCAGAGTGTCTGCGTAAGGGGCGGGGGCATGTCTGCGTTAACTGCAACACGTACGCAGACGACCTGGTTTCTGAGAATAAACCAGCTTTAAGGTCGACCCGGGTTCAAATGCGACCTGTGGTCCTTTGCTGCGTGTCGTCCTCTCTCTCATACCCCCATTCCTGTCAGCCCACTGTACAAAAAAATGAGCCACTAGTGCCGTAAAAAAAAAAAAAAAAAGCTATGAAGGTAACTCTTTTCCAGAAAGATTTTATATATAATCAATTTGATCACTTTTTTTCTTTTCTTTT